GAGGAAATGGCTGTGGGGGATGGAAGAGGTGGGTTTTTCACGGTGCCCCTGAAGGTGAGGAGGGTAGGTGACAGTCTGATGGATTGGGATAGGGAGTTCCAGAGGATGGGGGAAGTCCTGGAGAAGTCCTGCAATCGGACGTGGGAGGAGGAGACCAGGGAGCTAGAGAGTAGGAGGTCCTGTGAGGAGCGAAGGGCACGGGTTGGATGGTATTTGGGTATCAGGTCAGTTAGGTAGCTTGGGGTGGCGTATATATTACATAATAGTATATATTAACTAAGGTATACCGAGTGTTATTAATATTACATATGAGCATGTGGAAGCGGCCTTGAGGGTGCGCATGTTCAGAGGTAAGTTGGAAGGTCACCGTGTCTCTTATGGCAGTGAGGACTCCATTTTTCTTTTTGGGGTTCGAATCGAGGAACATTGTAGGAAATTGCTTCATGGTGAAATGAGGTGTTTTGGGTGCGTTTCTTGGATGAAGAGGATATCTGCTTGTAGTGATCGAGTTTCTTTGATGAGTAATGATCTTTTAAATTGGGGAGTTGAGACCTTGAACATTGAGTGATGCTATTTTAATCAGCATGAGTGGGTACAATGATGGGTGGATACCGGATTGGATGGTCTGCTGTAGTTAGAGTCAGAGGTACTGAATGGTAAAGTAGATGCGTCTTGGTACTGGCAGCAGTATTCACTTGTTCTTGAAGAGAGGGATGGAAGACCTAAAAAAGACTGGTATGGTCTTGCAGGGATGCTTGGTGTGAAAAAAATTGCCGGAAGTATTGTAGAGAACATTGGAGTATTGGAGACTGGCAATAGAAAACAGGAAACACGAAAACAGAAAAAATATAAAAAAAATATTGTGGAAAATACAAGAGAAATGGGTAGCATAAACAGCTACTGTTAGGTAGGGGCAGTTGATCAAGCATGACACTAAGGGAATGTCATGCTGGCAGGTGACTTAAGATCTCAGAGTTTCGTAGGTTAAGCCGAGGTTTCCAGCTAACAGGCAGAATTGGTAGGATATTATGCAGGATCATGTTAGTATTGTTGATGGGGTCTCCATCAGGTCCATTCCACTTCCATTTGTTGAGGTTGGTTTGGATTGTGGGTTTGGTCATCTGCAGGTAGGATATTCCAGTCTTTAAGAAGCTCAAGGCCTGCTTCCAGACTTCTGATTATGAAGGGTTTTCCTTGTCGCTTGATTGTGAGTTTGGTGGAGAATCCACATTGATGGCCAATGCCATTGTTACATAGCGCTTTAGTAATGAAGATCAACTTCTTTCTGTTGAGCAACGTCACTTTAGATAGGTCAGCACACAATTTGATATTAGCATGTGATGCAGGGAGTGCAGATGTGTTTCTGGCTGCGGTCATAAGTTTTTCCTTCACATGGTAGAAGTATATGAGTGCCAGTACATCTCTAGGCACTGATGCAGATAAGAAGGGTGGTTTAGGAATTCTATGGGCTCGATCAATGGCTAATTCTAGATCTGTGAGTGATGGAAGAAGGTGTTTCATTAATTGCTGTAGATAAGGTACTATTGAATCGGTGGTAACCGATTCAGAGATGCTGCAAAACTTAATGCTGTTTCTCCTGGAACGATCTTCTAAGTCCGCTATTTTGTGCTTTAGTTGTTGTAGCTCGATGTCGTGATCTGCGTGAGCATCTACCATGTTATTATGGGCTGAAAACATTTTGCTCATTTTGGTTTCAATATGATGCAAGCGTTGGTCGTGCTCATGCAGTGTTAGAAATCAGAGAAATCACAGATGCTAAATCAATATGCAGAGTTTGTCGTAAGGAAAGAAGTTTATTCTTCATAGTAAGCTCAGATACTGGTTGGTCAGAGGCAGGAAAGGATTCCGTGGAAGACTGTATTAGAGAAGCAGGCATAGGAGATGAAGAGGGAAGATGCATTTCTGTCAGAGTAGTGTCATCTATTCTGGGCCTTGATTTTACAGGGCTGCAGGTAGATGGGGATAGAGGGGGAGAGGACTCACCTTGATCTCCTTCATAGTGTGTCAAAAGCCTGGGGTCCGGAGTGTATGCAGACTGTTACTCTCAGGGACTGCTTTGCATGCAGCCGGTGCCATCTTGGCTGCTTGAGGTCCGGGCCGGATAGAAGTCTGTGAGCTTCTGCCGGCATCTAGGTGCCTTCCGGGGGCGGGCATGATGCCGGAGCGGTCGGGTAAGTATGCCTAGCTGCTGTGTTTATTTGTGGCCCTCAGGTTGCGTTGGAGCAGTGGCGGAGCTCTAGCAGTGAGCTGCCATCCATGGAGCCGGCCGGGCATGCCCCCCCTCCATGATGCTTAGTTTGCCTAATTTATGACCCATGGGAGAAATCCAGATGCCATCCCCATTATAGAGGGGTTGGGGAAGCAGTTTTCAGGGCCAAAGCTGTGGGTTGGGTCCCTAATGTGTAAGTAACTGAATACACAACCATACTTATAGATATGTAAGACCTGATCCACCCCACCTAATGCAGTGACCTGTTGCTACAAGGGTATACAGAGCAGAGATGGATCAGTTCTGCCTTACCTGCCTGATCCAAAACTGGAGCAGACAGAATGTGAAACCGTTTCTGCATGGCAACAATCAGCTCCTATTGTTCATTTCAAAGCTTAAAGTGGTTGTACACATCAGACATGAAATAAAAACAAAGCATATCCCTCTATAGTGTGTACTTGTCTCACATAAGAGCACATTCCTCTGCTATCAGCATGAATCACTTCTGACAAGTTTTCATGACACCAAGAGAAAAAAAAGGTGACAGGGGAGGGACCTCCAGCAGATTGACAGCCTCAGTTCTGTTCCTGTGAGCTGTGTAAAGGGGGGTGTCTCTCCCCTCCAATCAGCTCTCCTCACTGAGCTCTGCAGAGTGTAACATCAGCTCTCCACCCCCTTTTTTTTTTAAACCCTCATTAAAGCTTATAAATTCAGCACTTTGAACGTATGTAGAGAAGAGAATACGGCAGATAAACAGATACAACTTATGTAGAATTGTTTTATCACCTGTATATCACCTGAGGATAGTCCCTTTACTGGGTATATGTAAGGGTTTACAACCATTTTATCCGAACAAGCTAAAGATAGAAACTGATTGGTTGCCATGCATAGCTTCTCCAGATTCTGTCTGCTCAGTTTTGATAAATGTACCTCAATTATTGTGTTGATATGGAAGCACTCTTATTGAATGCTCCATAACAGTACTGGAGGTTCAGAAGCTGGTTGCTTCAGTTACTGAGGATAGTCCTGGACCACAGATCTAACTGATACCTGGTGGCTCCAGTTCTAAAGCCAACCAGAGCCATTAGGGGTTATCCAAGGTCTAAGAACAGAGGGGAAGCCCATTTAGCGATAGCAGACCACCTGTCAGGATGTAGTCTATGTGTGGGGTTTTTTTTTTTTTTCAGTTTCTTTGCTCCTCTTCCTTTTACTGTTTCCCTATCCTTTGGGCCTTATTTCTTTTCCTTCTCTATATCATTGAAGGGGAATTGGTTTTGTAACCTTGTCATGGTAACATGAATCATTTTATCCATACTGTATTTCCTGGTGACAATGCAATCACTGTGACTGAAAATTAAGAAAATTGGGGACACAGACAACACCGCTCAGTGTATAAAAAAAAATCTAATTGCTGTTGTGTCCTTGTTAAGGTGGCCATACCAAATGAACAGTTTGGCCGATTCCAAAGGAACGAGCTAATATTCGCCCTATGGCTGGCCTTGTTGGCACCCTTCCACATGACATCCTTCAATTGATAAATCAAAGGAGTGGGACGGAAAACAGATGGCTGCACAGCTATGAATGCCATCTCTTAGTACGCAATAATGCCCAGTTCACAATCGGTGCAATCCCTGCAGCCACAACTACCCGCAGCCACATCACATTTCTCTTGCAAGACGTACGGCGGTGCCATACATTGTAAATGGAACCCCGCATGCATCTCATCCCATAGTGCTATCAAGGATGTGGGAACCGTACTGAATCTGCATAGTCGAAAAAGTCCATGCACCCTGTCTGCTGATGCGTTTTGGAAAAGGTGCATGCACCTTTTCTTTGCATGAAATGTGTGAATGCAGCAGCCCATTCAAATGAATGGACTTCCATGTCTGCGCAAAGCCCGCACTAGTGTGAACCACGCCTAACTGGCTCTACAGATTCATCCATCTGTATAGTGTAGATGGAGGATCTATCAGATTTTTGTTGTTTTATCTTGCAGGTCTGTATTGCCAGTTTTAGTCACCTGGAAAGAAAGTGGGAAGAAAATGTACCAAACAGAGCCAGGTAGCAATAAAAACCATTGCAGAGGTTCTCACCTCACCCTTTTCTACCAAAAAAAGCCGGATATATACTTAAAAAGTGGTTGTAAAGTCTTACTAAATAAAATAAAACAAAGATGTTACCTGAACCTCCTCTTCTTGGTTCCCCGGCCTACGTTCTTGGCCCTTCCTCTTCTGTGTGAGTGTCCCTATATCAAACTGCTTGCTTTTGGGGCACTTGCACGTGCTCCATCCTGAGCCATGCTACCTGCATCCATAGACACAGACAGCACGGCTTGTCTCGACCCCACCTCATCACAGCATATGACTGACAGCAGCGGGAGTCAATAGCTTAATAGCTTCAGTTGCCACAGAAAAGCACATGAGACTAGGAAGTGAGTGGAAAGAGCCTCTACAGACAGGCACGGCACTGGATCAAGTGAGGAATCAGGTAAGTATAATGGTGGAGGTGAGGGGGCATATTGCCACCAAAACATTTTTTTAAATGGTAAAAAAATGTTTAGGCTTTATAACCACTTTGAATTATCAGTTGACATTCTACTTTAGCCACCTCCCATCCGGCCGTTGTATATAAATGACCAGACGGTGGCAGTGCAGAGTCGGGTGGCCGTTTATAAACGGCCTCCCCACCCCCTGCTTGTGTGTGTTCCTCCGGACACAGTGGAACACCGATCGTTGTACAGGACCTCTGTGTAAGGACCCGATCATGTGATCACTGATTGGCCAATCAGTGATCACATGCAGAGTAGTAAGCAAGATGTCACTTCTGACATAATTGCTTACTACATGTGAAATCTGTGAATGATCACAGAGGTCACATGGTACAAGGCTATTCACAACAGCCTTGTAACATGTGACAAGCTGTAACCAATCACAACTCACACAGTATTTCTCAATGGCTGCAAGAATGCAGCCAGAGAGAAGGAAACATTATTGCTTTTACAGCCTTTATGGGTGTAAAAGCAATCAGTGTTAAAAAAATAATTTTCATCACCCCCCACAAGTAGTACAGTGTCACCATGGTGACACTGTACTGCTAGGGTGACAGTATGTAAAAAAAAAAAAAATAACAATATAAAAAAATAAAAATTAAAAAAAAAAAATTTTATAAACTAATTTGGGTTATTTTTTTTCTGTTACTAAAAAGATAACTGAATATATTTATAATATTATTTATTTGCAATATTTTATAAGAAAAACACTTTTTTCTAAATTTTTGGACTTTTTCATTTATATATAGCAAAAAAAAAAATAAAACTCCTAGTGGTGAATAAATACCACCAAAATAAAGCTTTATCTGTCTAAAAAAAATGCTAAAAAATTCATATGGGTACAGTGTTGCATGACCGCTCAGTTGTCATTCAAAGTGCGATAGCGCTGAAAGCTGAAAATTGGCCTGGACAGGAAGGGGATAAAAGTGTCCGGACTGGAAGTGGTTAAGTAATAATATCTCTTTAGATGAGCACGGTGGAATGACTTAAATTTTGTGTAATTACAGTTCTACCATCTCAATTGGACATAGACCTGAAGGAGGAACTGGAGGAGGACAAAGAATATGAAGTCACATGTTCAGTGTATGGTGTGGCTCCTGTCCAATATGTCATTTTATCAGTGACCAGAGGAGGAAAATTATTTCTCAACAGAACATATGAAAATGACACTAGAAGAGGCCCACAAAATTTGACGGAAAATTTTCACTTCATTGCAAATCGTCGTGATAATCTGCAGGACTTTGCCTGCCAGGTCACATTAAATCTTAAAGAAATCACCAATACCACTGTGTGGTCATCTAATGTCACCGTCAGGACATATGGTGAGTCAGATCTTCTATTTCCTGCACACACTCTATAATGCTTCTCTGAAATCTCTCTGCTCTGCTTATAAATGGCTGCTTATTCAGTCATGAAAATGTTATTAAAGTCCAATAAAAAAAAAAAATCCTCATACATTTTAAGGAGAACCTGCATTTTAAGAGAACAATACATGCTGCAATGGATATAGGTAAAGTGAACAGGTTTTTAGAGTATTTTTGAGGGCTGATGTTAAACCATTCACATCCCCACTTTCCATACTAATATACCTTTTTGACATTATCTTCCAACTTTTGTGTACACTATATTGCCAATCGTATTGGGCCAGCCCTTCAAATCATGTGATTCAGGTGTTCCAATCACCTCCATGGCCACAGGTGTTTTAAAAATCAAGCACCTAGGCATGCAGACTGCTTCTACAAACATTTGTGAAAGAATGGGTCGCTCTCAGGAGCTCAGTGAATTCAAGTGTGGTACTGTGATAGGTTGCCACTAGAGATGAGCGAAGTATTCAAAAATTCGATTCGACTGATTCGGCGAATTCGTGGAAAAATTTTGATTCGCCGTACAGGGACCCATGGACACTCACTCTGGAGCCCTGGCAGCAGCATGAAGGAAGGAAGTGTTACATGCGGCCCATGGACAGATTACGGCCTTTCAGCAGCATGAGGAGCATCCGGTACGGGGGCCCCCCCATGGCAGATTACGGGCCTGGCAGCAGTCAATGTGAGGCCGTACAGGGACACCCATGACACACTCTGGACCTGGCAGCCAGCATGGGAGGCGGTAACAGGGGCCCATGACAGATTACGGGCCTGGCAGCAGCACTGAGGAGTCGGTAAGGGGGCCAACTGACACACTCTGGACCGCTGGTCAGCACATAGGAGGCTTACAGGGGCGCATGACAATTACGAGCCTGGCAGCAAGCAACTTTGGACGGAGGAAACGAATCAGCTTCTGCACCGACTGGGTGCGTGCTCGCAAAACTTATGACTCTTGGAAACGGATTCCAAGAAAGTCAGCTGACAGATCCGATGAGAGAGTAGCAGGAGAATGGAGCCTCTGAACACGGAATATCCCAACAAGCGCCCAACAGGGGCCCATGCCCAGATTGGGGCCCTGGCAGCAGCTGGGAGTGGGGTACGGGGGCCCATGGCAGTTTGGGGCCTGGCAGCAGTATGGGGGGCCCCGAAAATCGCCAGCACCCAATGCCAAAAAAATGGAACCCCCCAGCAGTTTTGAGGCCCCTAAAAGGTGGCACATGGCAGATGTGGCGATGGAGACACCCAGCAAATGGGGGGCCTTTCAGGGCCCCATGAGAGACTCGGGGACCTGGCAACCAGCATAAAGGAGGCGGTAAAGGGGCCCATGGCAGATTAGGGGGCCGGGCACCCAGCTATGGGAGGCCCGTAATCTGCCAGCCCCTTTTATAAACCAAAAAAGGGGAAAACCACCCCAAAGCAGTGTGGGGAAACCCCTGAAAGTGGCACGGCCCAGAGTGTGGCGAGGGAGACAGCAGAAAAAGGGGGCCCGTCAGGGCCCATGGGGAGACTCTGGATTTGGGGCGGGCGCATGGGGGCCGGTATGGGGCCCCATGGCGTTTTGGGGCCCCTTGGCAGCAGCTATGGGACCCCCTTAATCTCCCAGCACCCAAGAAAAAAAAGGGGAACACACCAGCATTTGTGAGGAGACCGAAAGTGGCAAAATTTTTGGGGGCATGATTCATGGGGTTTTATCAGTTGTGCCCAGGAAATTTGGTGGTTTGAAAATCCAGACTTATCCACGCCTGTTTCATTTTCAAAAACGTGAGTCTCCCCAAATTTTTGGGGTGGACACCCCGTGTCCTCCGGGAGTTGAAATTTCCCTCCTGCCGCACAAAAACACGGGGCTCCAATGCCACGCTACGGGCCGGGGCAGGGAACCTTTTTAAAAGGGGCCCAAAAATTCAGCTATTTTGGGGCCCAAAATTTCAAGTTTCGTTCCCCCTTAGAAAAGGGGGAAATTTGTCTACCCGGTTGGCAGGTGCTGTAAGTGGGCCTAACCCTTTTTGTTTAGGCCCCTGCTCCGGGCCCACCTTTGCTGGGCGCTGCTGGGGATGGTTAGTAGTTTCCTCCCGGGCGTTTGGTGAAAAAAGGGCTCCCTCATCATCGACTCAGCCTGAGGCAGCCGCTGTTTTGGAGTTTCCCCACTGCCCCCTCCCACCCCAACCCCCCCCCTGTGCCATGGCAGCGGAACGCCGGGAGCGCACAGGGCCCACTGTCTGGGGTTTGGACGTTGGCCCCGAAAGGCAGAGCCCCGCTGGACACAAGGGGTTTTTTTTATATTTACATTATTTTGGCCTCCCTCTCAGCAGGTTTTAAAAAAGGCCCCCTTTTTTGAAGGGTACCGAGGGTAAACAAAGGTGGACAGCCAAAAGTCTTTCCCTTTTGTCTAAAGGTTTAAAATTTTCGGTTTTTTCGAAAAAAGCAAGAAACCCCAAGCATGCATGGGCCATTTTTCCCAAAGGAATGCGAGGGGACCCCCCCTCCAAACTCCCCCCCTACTGCCAAGGGTTTGCTCTGGGGTCCT